GGGGGGACGCAACCTAGTCTTCACTTATTAACCACCTCCAGGAAAACCTTGCTGCTTCCCTGGCTGGCTGCAGAGGAAGTCGTTTCGCCACCTTCCAGTGCAGGCTGTAAAATGCCGGCCTGGACAGGGCTGATAAACCAGACTCCTCCCAGACCACAGCTCCAGCCTCCAGGACAATCTCACACTGCCACAGACCAGGGGACCGCTTCCAAAGGGACAGTCATTTTGAGTTTTTCTTTTCTAAAGCAATCTCTTGCCTAGGTATTTCTGTAAGTTGCTCTCCCATAACAAAATCCAGGACATCCACATCAGGCCTTCAAATTTAACTCAGCGCTTCAGGTGTCTAAACCTTGTTTTTACCAAAGACAAAGATGAAGGCAGTCTTCATAAATTACACAGGCAATTAGAAACCACAGCCTTCCAATTTTTCCTTTTCTGTGTTATTAGCTAATAACAAGGTCAATGAACTCAAAGTAATCAGAATAGCACAGAAACAACACTATCTTCCCGGTATACACACATACTAAATACATGTGGCCAAATATTTAGTAAGCCATGCCCTCTGTGCTTTGAACCTAAAACAGCTGTTAACTACTTACAACACTGCAACATGCTGGTACATCCTTACACTGCTAATTTTAAAACCAGGTAAACCCGTTATGTCTAGGCTTTATGACAACAACCTAACTTCACAAAATTAATAGTTACCAAGTTTCTCAGTAGGTGATCCGGGTGGAGACGAATTCCCACTAGGGGACAGGTAGAGGTAGTTTTTGTTCACTCCTGCATTGAAATCGAACGGGGACTGGTAGTCTTCATATAAGTCTGTGTCTCTGTGATCCATCATCCCAGGCAGAGGCAGAATGCATGGCTTTACGGCCACCTGAGCTCCCTCCGAAGTCGCTCGCCGCTTTGGCCTTATTCCCTTTGCCCCACCTTGCAAGTTTACTGAGACTGTCTTCCCAGTTTGGAGGCCCCGCCCCAAACCTGAGTGTCCTGGCTCAGGTGCAGCTTCGGCAAGCAGGCCTTTTAACAAAGACGTCTCCTGAGCAACTTCAGGAGGGGCTCTGTTCACCACCTGTTGTTAATTTCGGTCAACAAAGAACAACCTGAGCAGGGGCGTGGAGCCTTCTTCAGTAAATAAAGGAGGGCTGGGCTGTGGGCACTGAAATATCACTCAGACGGCTGAAAAGTTCAAGTAAATGCTTGACACTGTCAGAATTATAAGAAATTCCTTTTTTTTTAATGAGTCAGCTGACCACAACTATCCCAGGGCAGAGTTAATATTCTAGGACAAGGAAGGATTATCAGCCAGTAATCTCCTGCAAATGCCATCTGGGTGATTTTTTTTTCCACCCTGGATTTACCATCAAATGTGAAAGCTGAGCTTCCTGGTTTAGCAACCAGCTTTCTAAGCATAACTTGATACAAAAATAAAGCTGTATTTCCATCATTATTGTATCTAAAGTGGAGTCTGCATTGCTAACATAAAATGTTCAATCTGACTTGTCTCTTTCTCTTTATGGGGAGGATGGTGTTTCAAATACTAGAGGAGAATCCACTGAAGATCAAGCCCCTATGTGGCCTGCACTCCACTGTTTGACCAAGGCTAGGCTCTGTACATTCTACACTGAACCCTGTTTGTCTTGGCGCAGTCCACCTGGCAATGGCAGGGCTACAGTTGGCTCATAAAACAAAACTTTCAATACCAAATCCATTTCCTTGGGCACAAGTCTCAGCAGAACCTTTGCAGCACGCTCAAGATGGCCTCTGCTCCTAGCATTTGCAGCTCCCAGGCTTGTGTTAACATAAGGAGGTAAAAACAAAGCAACCCACTGGACCCCTAGCCGGCACAGGTCTTCACTGCATAACAACAACAAAAAAAGGCAGTTCTCTATCTTTCCAAATCTACCTGAAAAAAACAGAACTTGACACACCCTCCCTGAATTAGAAGCAAATATAATACCCAATATATTTTAAGGATTAAAAAAAATCAAGGTGTTTAGTGTATAAAACATACCAAGTGTACCAAGGTAGTCTATATTCATCTCAACTTATGACTGATTTTTAATATTTTCCGTTAGCCACATGTACTCTATGGCAAGTCTTCGCCTTAAGTTTTCTAAAACGTTTATTTTTAAAAAGCAATACTTTTCTCCTAAAAGATACCAAAATTTAAGCAGTTATGTTATTCATTTTATATTCAGAAATAGTATAAATGGTTTCTTTTTATCATTACTTAAAAGAATAAATTGTTGAACTTCCTAAAATCTGTGGCATCTTTCACTGTGAGGGAACACACACTGGAGTATGTTCCTGGCCTAGAGGTGGCTCAAGGGGTCCTTATTGTTATGGTTTAGATCTAAAATGTCCCCCGAAAGTCTCTCATGTGTTCAGAGGTACAGCTTTCAGGAGGTGCTGCCAACGGACTGACCATTCAGGAGTTCCTGGTGGAATGTGCTGTGAGGAGGTGGGGTCTGTCAGAAGAGGTGGATCACTGGGGTGTGACCTTTCTAGAAGGGTGTGTTCTTGACCCAGCTCCTCCCCTCTCTCCTGCTTCCTGGATGCTATGGTGGGCATCTTTGCTCTACCACACCCCTCTGCTATGCTGTCTCTGCCTTGAGCCATGCACCATGGACTGAGCCCACTGAAAACATGAGCCAAGTAAACCTCTCTTCCTTGGAGTTGCAGGTGTTAGGTATTTTGTCCCAGCAATGGCAAAGTGACTAATACACTGGCCTTCTTCATACATTCTGTATTTGGTCACTACTTACCGGCAGAAAACGCATTACTCTATCACCCTATTTGTGCCTCCTCCTGGAGCCACAGGTATTAGAAGGTGATTAATTCTGTCACAGATACAATGCAAATCACAGCTGCCTTCACATCTCTCATCATCTCAACCCCATATCCTTGGCCTTCAGTGCTAATGGCCAAGTGATACCCATTACCTGAAATGCTGCCCTATTTCTGCCAGAATCACACACCCTTCGAGACTCAGACAGAAATGCTACCCCTTCTCAAAAGTCTTCCCAGTGGCTGTCCCCTCCTTTTCTAGCAGCAGCACCCAGATATGAAGTGCCCGTTTGGCAGCCTGTCTGTGTCTCTACAACCTCCCCTCCAAGGCAGGCGCCACATCTGAATTAGACCGGGTTTGGTAATCAACGTGGAATGAAAAAAGGCAATTAGGCCTCATTCTCAAATGTAAGGACAGAGATTTTAAGTAATGGTCTAAAAGTTGTCTCTACCTGCTTGGGTATAAACTTAGGAATTTACATAACATCCCAGCTCTTGCAACCAATTCTTAGTCTCCACATCGCCAACCAGAGCCTACTCCAGACATCGTAGTCTTGAGAAAAGTGAAAACAGACAACCAGACCTGAGAAATGCCTGATGGGACTAATGGAATGGCAGAAATCCAGTTCACCCAAGATTCACGTGGGCCGGGGATTTAGCTCAGCAGCACAGAGCCTGCCTGGCAGGCACTAGGTCCTAAGTTTGATCCCTGGTAGGGTACCAAAAAAAAAAAAGATTCACTGTAAAGTAGAAGCAAGTTTAAAAATTAAAAATGGAAATATAACTTGGGAACAGACCACCAAAGACACGGAGTGACAAAACAATGACATTTAATGTACTGGGGATTAGGGGCTGAAGGTTTTTGAGCCAGGCAGGGACAATATAAAAAGTAAACATGACAGCTGGTGTGTAGCTCACCGGTAGAGCATTTGCCTGGCACCCACAAGGGCCTGGGTTTGATCCCCAGGCATTGAAAAAAAATAGTAATTTTTTTTTTTTTTTGGTACTGGGGATCGAATTCAGGTCCTTCCGCTTGCGAGGCAGGCAGCAGAACTACTGAGCTAAATCCCCGGCCCAAAAATAGTAATTTTAAAAGCAAACATTATAGGGCCAGGGATTTAGCTCAGTGGTGCTGCCATCTGCCTCACAAGCAAAAGGTCCCAAGTTCGATCCCCAGTACCAAAAGAAAACGGTGACCCTAGAAATGGTGCACAGGACACATTGCAGGGAGAAAGAGGGTAAAACAGAGGGGACTTTGAAAGAGAATCCTAGCCAAATCCAAGCAAGAAGAAGGGAAGCCTTTGGCTCTATGGCAGCTCTTTTTATTTCCTGCATGGACTATTTGGCCCAAGGAAAAACCAGTTAGATTTGGTCCTGCTATTCCAAAAATACTTCAAGATCAATGTGCACAAGACTGCATTTGCCAGTCTTCCTCACAGTGTTCTTTTCTCTGTGCCCACCATCCTCAGTTTCCTAGGCCTGGCCTCGAAGTAACTGTACCTGGAGGTCTATATATAACCTGTTGCTGGATGCTGCTCTGGAGGGGCCTCGGGATCCTTTCCTCCCCACCCGGACAGGACAGACAAGCAGAGACAGGCAAGGAATGGAGCAGCAGCATTTCAGCCCCTAATCCAGCTGCCCTGGACTTCCTAGTTAGTAAGCACTACAGTTCCGTTCTGTTTTTCTTAGGCTTCAATTTTATCACTTCATAGAAAAAGTCTCAAATGACGTACTTTCCAATCCTATTTCCCCTATTACCCACCATGTTTCTGCCAAACTTGATTTTCCTGCTTCCTGAACACATCCTAAATTTGTCCTAGACAATTTTTTCCAGTTAGAGTCTCCTTTCTCTATATTTTTACCTGTTAAGTTCCCACTTATCAAACTCCACTTAATAAGAGATGTTCATTTTTAGATGCTACCTAAAATGGAAAAAGTAAACAACACAAAGGCCTATTAAAAGTAGATTATTTAAATGCTTAAAAGCACATTCATGTAGTAGAAAATATGCAAATATTAATGTGATGATGTAGAAATATGTAGTTCTTAACATGGAAATATGTTCTTGATATAGTTAGGTAAATAAAACAGTTCAAAAGTAGGTTGTAGAGTGCTCACTTCAGCAGTACGTATACTAAAAAGCAGGTTGTACTGAATTATCTGTAATTATATAATAACTAAAGAGAGATCAACCAAGCAAAACAAAAAAAATGGGCAGAAAGAGAACTCCATGTCCCTTAACCCCAGAAAAGTGATCGTGTGCTGCAGAGCCAGCAGAGGGCGACCACAGGCAGCTCACCGATCAATTCAGGGCACCCAGTAAAGTGCAGAATCCATTAGATGACTCATTATTGCAAATGGTAATGGTAGTAGATACTAAAAATAACTGTAAAGAAAACTGAGTTTCTATCTGCCTATTAATACATCACTCAAATATATCAGCATAGATTCTCCCCAAATCTGAAAGACATTCAAGGGATAGTCTGATTTAAAAGCTATACAACATACAAAACTTATTTTTGGGGCCCCTGAAGTGGACCACAAAGAAAATATGGCCGCCCAAAAGGAGAGGCAGGGCACAGGGGGTGTGGATATGCCACAAGACACTGAGCTCGTTCAATAGGGTTCCAAATACCAAACAAGGGACAATGGACCACTGAAATAACTGGGGACGGCAATAAGTTATAGCCCAAGAGTCTATAAAAATAGTAAGTAGGCAAAGAGGAAAAAGGAAGACTCTCAGAAAAATGCCATCCTGGCCATCACTGTAAAGAGTCACACTGCCAAACTAGGGAAATATTTTGACAAAGAGTGGTATATTCTTATAGGTTTAAAGTGCCCCTCCCCACACACAAACAGAGATTAATTACTTGTCACAAGGGAAAACAGGCTAACAGTACAATGGAGAAATCACCCACACTTGGCTGGGTGATCAAAACTGTCATTACCCAATGAGAAGTTAGCTGGATATGTGTCCTCAATAATGACACCGCATGCAGGTGAGAACTCTCTCTATTCAGAAGGGAACACCAGGCAAATCCAAAATGAGAAAGGTTCTATTTTTTAAAAGGGGAGGGAGGGCCGGGGATTTAGCTCAGTGGTTTTTGCCACCTGCTGCACAAGCACAAGGACCCGAGTTCAATCCCCGGTACCAAAAAAATAAAATAAAATAAAAGGGGAGGGAGCTGCAT